TGCCCCAGTTCAGTGATTGAGGTGCAGGGCTTGGAAAGAGCTGCAGGGGTGGGGTAGGTCCAAGACCCCTGCCTCATCCATCACTGGGGCAGCTAACAGCAAGCCCCTGGCTGCCTCACTGATGGATTGGAGCAGAGGACTGGGACCTGCCTCTCCCCTGCAGCTCTTTCCAAGTCCCCTACCCCTGATTGGGGAGCTGGGGCCAGCAGCTCCCAGCTGCCAGGGCAGGGGGACATTGTCCCCACCCAGGCTCCTTTGACAGAGCCCACCCCAGCAGCAGGTCGCCCCCTGGGGGCAGGGAGCAAAGTCTGATGGCTGATGCAGGCCCAGGAGACATGGGAGCCAATTGCTGCCATGAACAGCAGATTTGCTCCCAAGACCCTACATGTGTAGACACCTGCCCAGGTCAGTTTATTTTAAAGTAACTTTACAGGAGTAATTTTCTAGAGTAATTTCTCTCGAGTAAACTGATCCTGCATGATTTGCATATGTAGACATGCCCAGTAAGTACAGAAAAATGGCTGTAGTGGTGATAGATAACCTAATACATGTAGTATTACATATATACTTCACTCCAGGCCAGAGGTTTCCACAACATGGGATGCCCACCACAGGGCAGTGACTTTCCGGGGTATATGGATAGACACTGTTCTTCAGAGATTCAATTTTATTTAAAGACTAAAAACATAAAAACCTCAGTCTTTCATTGCTGTTTTGCATTTTGGCAACCATTAAATATCTGCCTGAGTTTTCAGAAAGCCTGGAATAATGTCTCTGATGTATAAACTACCCTATTAATTTCAAAGCATGCAAACGCCATTGATGATGTTTTAAATGTCAGCACTGTTAACTATTTTATCATATAAGAAAGAGGAGAAAGTATATTCAAAGGTCTACACAGGTCTTTCCCAAAATTGTAGGGGTAGAGGTACAAAAGGGAAAACTAGGAAAACACAGCACATAATAAGGTCTGCATTTGGTTTCATTTTCCTGAAATAGCACTCAGCTTTTGAAACTTAAAAAAAATGCTCTAGGAGATGGATCAGAACACTTCCAGTGCCAGAATGCTTCTGGTTTAGCATAGGGACAAAGAATGTTGGTGGCAACTGTGATGTTAGAGAGGATGCACTTAAAGATTAATTTGTTCACTTTTACTCTCTCTGTCAGTTTATGTGCCTTTTATTGTTAAAAATAGTTAATCTCTGCCTACTGAGAAACTTCATCTTCATTTAAGCACTCGGTCTACTTTCCAAAACATTTCCCAATACACCCAAGCGACTTATCTCTCAGAACATCATCTTTATTTCAAACTATGCAAAATCAACAGAATTGTGAATTTGAATAAAAAGTTGATAAAGCTTTTATGAAACATGCTTTTTGGACTTTGCCTTCAGGTTTATCACTCAGTTTGACAGGAACTTTCTTTCTTTTAGAAAAGTCTTCTAAAGATAGGGGAAAAAAGCTTCTTACTCTGTACAGATCAGTAATCCAGATTTAAATCTATGGGCATCAGAGAGTTTTCTCATTACATTACAGTTACTGTACTCCAAAATGGAATTCAAATACAAGTGACAGGCCTTATGTCAGTGTTAGGAGTTTTTCTGTGAGCTACCTCTTTCAAACATTCAGCTATAATGATTAAAACATAATTCTGTAGATAAGTATTTCAGCTAAATGAAGACTACTGAGCTGATATGGACTGTGTAAGGGCATGCATAGACATGCATTTATGGTTTTAAAAGAATTGAAATAACATAAAAAAGAACTGAATAGACTAATATTTGGGATAAAGTGAACATACATCTCAGGAAGTGACATTTAGTCAGAACATTTCTCTCGAATTGCATTGTTTTAAGGTAATGATTCTCAGACTTTTTATTCAGAGCAAGGAAAAAGTGGCAGGGGGGATGTTTCCTAGTGTCTTGCTTCAGTTTAATCTTTAATACATCTTTTAAGCAGAAGAATATGTGAAATTATATTCTTCCCCTTTTATCTGCAGCACTATCACTTTCTTACAAAAAAAACAAGGACTAAATAATACAATGCTAGCTTAGAGCTGGAAATGGGCAAGCTATGATGTCTGACATAATTGCCATGAAGAAAAAAAATTAAAGTAGATCAGTATCATTGCATCTTGGAGTAAAATAATGAGTCTATTCTTTTACTATAAATGCTCAGTCATCCTTGTTAGGTCTAGTAAAGATTTTGGCAGCTGTATCAAAAATTGACCTTTTCATTATAGTTATAAAAGGTTATAAATAAAGAGTTCCATACCTTATTACAGTGACAGGTGAGTAGAAAACTGCTGCTGTGTAATCTGAGGACTGTTTAATTATCAGATCAAATAATAGATGGCAAATTGATGGCAAAAAATGCTTGAAAACTGTTTGTGAAGAGGAATGTAACTGCTACTTTGGAAATCCTGTAGCTTCCTGGAAGTCTTTGCAGACTCTATCCATCGTATTAAATGACAGATAGACAGCCTCACTAGAAGCTAATGGTAGTTTGGGAACTAGTGTTTGAATCACTAGATAAGGTATAGTTTGTGTGACTATTAGTTATTAAGAGCCAAAAGGATAAAACTGTTCATTTAATGTACCTAGGACACTTAAAAGCACAAGTTTAAATCCTTCCAGACCTGATTCAGTGTCTTATTCCTCTGAAACTGGTAGATCCAAGCTCCATGGAATTTACCATGTGAGAGGTTCCTAGAAAAGCTGTGCTCCAATGATTATTACAATGCACCCAGCCAATTTTTGTGAGGGTAATAATTTGCCCATGTACATTTGGTTAAAATGTACTCCTCTTTTCATTTTTGGAGAGTGTGTTGCTCTTGATCTAGAACAAATACGACATCTAACTAATGCGTTGGAGTTTCATCTGCCTGTGGAACAAGAGAACAAAGGTCAAGTGTTGCTAACTTCTGTGTCACCAAGCTACTTACAGGATTTGAGTGCATGATTCTTCCTGAATGAGACATGTAGACTGGGTCTGTTGTACTATATTTAAAAACAAAGGATGTGCCACAGCAGATCAGATCATTTGATGGACTACCTGTGGCAGCAAGAAATACTTGATGATTTTTGTTGAAAAATGGTTCTGACAAGTGACAATACAAATGGCATAATCTTACTCAGCATGTTTGATCAATGTGTATCTAAATTTATGTTGTCTTGTTTTACAGAGAAAGGGTACTGAAAGACCTGGAAAATGAAATTACAAGTTCAGTAGCAGGGTTTTTTAATAAATTTGGTTTATCAAATCAGGGTTGGTTCTGTGTGAACAGAGAATATCAAACATAATATTTATAGTTTGAAAAAGTGAAAAATTATCTGGGTAAATGAGAACTCATGAAGCTGACCTCATTAAAATACCAGGCTTTGAATACATTTTGAAGTAAAGATTCATTAAAAATATACAGGTAAATGGAAAATGAACTAAAAGGCAATATAGATTTACTAAAGCTACTAGTGTGTCAGACTAACCCGGTATCTTTTTTTGGTTTCTTTTCTTTGAAAAAATAGCTGACATTTTAAGGGGAAATATGGTAGGTCTAGTCTATCTGGACTTGATAAAATATTTGAGGCAGTGCCATGTGGAACATTATTAGTTAAGATGGAGAAGATGATGACTAGTCAAAGAATTGTGAGGTGGCTTAGGAACTGGTTGAAGTGGAGAAAATAATGGGTTGTGCTGGAAAGGAAACTATCACGAGCTTGATAATTGTATGAATAGGATTATAGGACATGATTCCCTAAAATTGCAAGCTGCTGGACTCGGGGACACAGGAGGTTCCTTCCAGGCCTATTTTCCTGTTTCTAAAAGCTGTTTCTTCTGCCTGTCCTACAAGGCCAATACAGCTAAGAGGAAACTGGATTCTCAACTTTTTAGTGCAGCAGCAAAACAAAACTGCTAAATTTCCATCAGTTAGGTCTCTGTAATTAACAACATCATGTCCTTGAAGGCAATTAATTTGCATAGGAATCACTGCTGAGTGCCTAATTTGGTCTGTAGAATCCTTATTATTGGTGATACCCAATAAGGTAAGAAAGTAACTTCACTCTTTCTTTTATTCTAGCCACTACAAAGCCAAGATTGTGGGCCTGGTTCCTAACAGTCCTCAAGCTTGCATAGTTATATACACCAGTGCAAAGTGAGTGTAAGCTATAATCTGTCTGCCTTGCTGTTATTTTAAATAGACAAAACTGCAAAAGTGCAATGCTATGGAGAATTAGGCCCCAGGTTTAAGATGTGCTGCGAGTCAAGTCCTCATTTGACATACAGTTACAAAAGTTTAGTGTATTTGTTTAATCCTATCAGGATGTCCATTGCTTCAAAGGGAAACTGAAAAGAATTCATCCCTTCTTCTGAAGAGTTTTTAGAACAAGCAACATAATGACTTTCATTTTTTACCAGGACTCTCAGTGCTGGATCTCAGGGGATACAATTCAGATTTATATGACTCCTGCCACTGTTGATGGGAATGAAACATGATCTAAGAATGAGATGTATGGACTGTTATCCTGTAATAAACACTAACTGCCATATCCCTAATGGAAACTAGGCAGTTATTCCATCTTGCAAGGACACAATAAGATACGCAAATCTTAAATATCAAACATTTTTTTCTGGGACGGTGAATAGTGCAAATACCACCTAAATCTCTGGATTTTCTCTAGCAGTATTTACAAGAACAAGTAAGAAATTCACAAATTACCTTCTATAATTTTAACAGCTTTTAACCTATTTTTTTAATTTGTGCATTTTTATTCTGTATATATTACTTTCCTGTAAATGATGCACAGTAAACATTGGCACTGCCAAAGCTCCAGGGAAAGGCTGCCCTATATTGTTTGATGATACTCGTCCACAACACAGGCAGGTTACTGCTCATGTCCTAGAATCTCATGGCTGAGGTGTATTGCTTGAAAGCTCTGTGGTAGTATCTGAACATTTTGGTTATTTAGCTTGTTTTTTAAATTCAATCAATATAGTCAATCTCAAGTTTATGATTTCAATTTATTTGTAATGTTATAACATGATCTCTCCCATTTGGCTGTTTTACTAATTTGTATTGGGTTTTTTCCTCTGGCAGTAGGTTGTGGCCATGTCTGTGCTTTTATTGTCCATGCCATCAAGCTTTAAGAGAATGTGATGTGTTTTTAGGAAATAGAGTTACATGATTCTGAGGAATAAAAATTTAATCTTTTTTGCTATCAATTAGGTCTTTATTAAATTAAATGATAACTCATACATGATTTTTCGTATTAAGTTTTCACATCTCTTCCTTTTCTGGTGTAGTCAGCTTTGCATCTGGTCTTCAAGAAGATCTGTTAGAAGGGTAAGAAGCTGTTTTCACTTAGAAGTTCCTTCACAGTTCTTCCTGTCATTAAGCCTAGAGATCTGTCAGACACTTGTGATGACAGCAAAGAGGAGGAGTGGTAGGCAACTGTTGATCCCTCTGTATCATGGTGTATACATGAGAGGTCACCTTCAGTGCAGATTCCTAGGTAGGAGTATGAAGGAGTGTAGGCTGCCCAGACTTCCCATCCTCCCTTTAGATCTTTGAAACAGAATCCAAAGGCCAGACTGAGTCTGGATGTTTGGTGCCTTGATGACTGTAAAAGTACACTAAAAGATAACTTCCTTGTCAGCTTTCCTTATCACTTAGCTTTGCAGCAGTATCTGCTTTGTCATTAGTATTTTCTATTGAAGATTTCCAGAGGTTTCAAGATTGGCTTGCCAAAACAACCAGTGCATTGGATATGGAACACCACAGTAGTGGAAAAATTGCACCAGTGATTTGGTATAGTGGCTCCCTAGCAATGAGGAAGACTGCTGATCCCCAAACATCAAGGTCTTCATAGAATGAGGTAGAGACTTAAGAATAATACCACACTCTGACATAACTTAAGGCTAATATGCCTCAAGCAAGTGCCAAGCCACTCTAGAAGGATTTTAAATTTTTCCAGTGTACCACGATTACTTTTCTATTGTCATGAGTTGGCAAGATGGAAAGCCTAAGTTAACCTCATGGGCTTTTTTCTGCTTATGATAAAGGAACAAAAATTTAGACCTTCTGAGGGGGGAATCATCATCCTCAGTAACTCAGGTAGACTGGTGGGTTGCCAGGCTCCCTTAGCTCAGTGTACTTTGCACAGGACAAGGAAATCTCCAATGCACTAGGTAGTTTTAGTCAGTGTGGTACTTCGGAGGGGGGCTGCCACCCCAGCACCTGGTCCCTCTCTGTGGTCCAGCCCACCTGCTGGCTTTGTCCTGGCCCCGCCTCATCTCCAGTCTCTTTCCTGCCATGACTTTGATGTTATTTTGCTTGTTGTTGGAGGAGGTGGTCTCTGGAGTTGGCAGTAACCTCTCTAGTCATCTTGCCTGCCTGGCCAGGCCAGTGTCCCCACCTGGGGCCTATACTCTCCCTCAAGTACTTCACCCTTAAGATAGTGTTCCTGCAGGCTCCTGAACACCTGTTGGGGCCTCAGCTGTTGCAGCCTTGGCCCCCACTTTTCTCTGGCCACACCCTCAGCCTTGCTCCAGTGTTTAAGATCTCAGCTCCCAGGTATAGGCCTTACCTTGGTGGCAGCCTCTCCCCAGGTTCCAGTCTCACCACGCCAGTCTCAGTCCCTATGGCTCGGGGCCAGCTTCTGGTACATATAGCAGGGGAGTGCCACCCAGGCACCACTGCTCATGGCCTACTCTGAGTTGACACATGTTCCTGTAGAAAATTTCAATTTTGACAGAATAGCAATTTCTAATGGAACAATATTTCTTGTAAAGACTTTATAGCAGTTCTATTTTTAATCAATCCCATATGTTTTGACTATAGTTTTGAGCATGCTAGAAACACCACCTATTCCTCTGTGGTATCAAGAATAATGAGACTTTTAAATTTCACCTGTAAATAGGTATAACTAAGGGATCTCTTGAAGTGGGTAAGTAAGAGCAAGAACAACTACAGCAAGGTTAGGTGGTATTTGTAGGTCAGGTATTCAAAGGGGGAGCTGCTGGGAAAGAAACTTGACTTGAATACATTTCTCTGGCTTCCAGTAAGTCCCAAAGGGTGATCCTCCAAAGGGGTACTCTGGTTATTTCTGAGCTTGGGAGACCAGTTTTAAGCTTTTTCAGGTATCAGATTTATGTGCAAATAGCCTAAAATCACCATTTTTAAGGCACATTAAGGATGCACACATGTAGACCCATGGCCTTAACGTTCCTTAAAAATGGCTAATGCACCTCAAATGTACACATGTTGACACATGTAGACACACGCATGGAGAGAAAATTCCCCCCGGGTATCTAATAAATACCTAAATGGACTTAGGCACATTAGTCCAGTGTTACTCCACCCTATTCGCATCCAAAAAATGCCCTTAGGGGTGGGCCCCCTTCCTCCTCCTCACTGCTTTTTTGTGACTGTGACTTAAGGCCAATATTACAACCTACTGCAAAAGTAGAAGTATTAATGGTGTTTCAGGAATTCAATCAGGATGAAATAGGATTGAATTTAGGCACAGTGGTCCATTTAGACACCTAAAAGGTGGACAAGGATCTAGCTCAGATGATCTAGAGTATAGTCTTTAAGTATAGTCCCTTTGGATGACTATGCTTTACATAAATGTGGAATTATTGTCTGAGGACAAGGAAGAATGGTGACCCTGCAAACAGCAGTGTATCGTCCCAAGCTTTTGTTAATTTTATGCACTTAAAAATGGTAGTGCAAACTGACTAAAGTGACATAAGGCAGAAAATGTGAAAGTGAAGCAGCTGTAACATTTTAATGCTTTGGGATAATGTTTTTATGATGTGACAGTTTTAGGCCTTGTCAGAATGTAATGGAACTATTGCTGCTTTAAGAGCCACAATTGTTTTCAGACAGTAAAATATATTATATGATGCAGCCCCCTGGCTCTAGTGGAGTGCGCTGTGCTGAAGGTGATAAGTTTATACCAACTGCACAAACTCCACCAGGGTCACTAGCCAATCAAAGGTGCTACATCAGCCAAAGAGCTCTGTGAACATTAAACTGCAGTGGCAGTTACTCCATTACTATCTTAGCTGAGAAAAGTGGATTAGATCTGGAAGCAGTCTTTCTAGAAGGAAAAGTGGGGTTAGAGAAGCAAATGTGTCTTCTGTAGAGGATGGGTTTTAGCTGTGAAAACGTTGGATTTGTATGATTCTTGTGCAGTAGCCCAGCACCTCCTCTACTTCCATAGCCTAATGTTGTTGCCTGTTTGTAGCCCCTAGTGAATATAATTAATAATCTAAGGACTTTGGCAGCTGCAGTGACTTTTCAAGTGTAAAATTTACAGTTCCAAATGTAAGCCATGTGCAATATTGCAATGGACTCTACCAACTGAACGCATCTTCCACGTAGAAGATGAAGGTCCAATGAGAATGACTCAGTTTAATTTTAATTAATGTTATTTGTTCATTTAATCAACTTTATTTAATTGTTCCTTCAAAAATGTTATTCCTGAAGTGTGGCTTTTAGCTCAAGACGGATCCTCAGCCCAGCTGAAACCATTTTAGGGTATAAAATCAACTTCAGCTCCTGAGGGCAAAAGCCTGTTTTGTTTGTATCACCTTTTAATCCAGGTTTTTCATTTGGGTGTGTTGGTTTCATGTATGTACCTTTTGTTAGGAAACTTTTTACAGCAAGGTGAAGTACTCTCAGAATTCCTTGCATTATCCTCGTTCAAGAACTCCAAGTGCTTTAAATAAGCAGAAGCTGTAGCATGTCTGTAAGAGAGGAAATCGTGTGAAAAAATGCCTTGCTCTCTCTGCAAGTGATAGGTACAACAGACATGGTCAGAAGCTGCAGAGTAGGAGGGAGGAGGGAGCGAAACCTTTCTCCTCCCCGCATGTCTGACAGCTAGCTCATACAGAATAGAGAAGATAGTTCTTTGTCGCCCTCCTTGCGAAGGGGGTGGGCAGTGAGACAGTGAGCCTTTCCCACCCCAATGCCCCATGTTTCTAGCATTAAAATCCTGACCACACCCCCAACCTTCATGCTGTCTTACCCTTCCAACCTTCCGATTTTTTATTAAACATTGATTGCAAAGAGTTAAACTGTTTCCATATGTCTAGTATGAGGATGGAGTTTGTATCCGTTGGCAACCTCAGCTGAATCCAGCTGCAGCTGCTACCTGTGTGTTCCACTGTGTGTGCGCACATGTGAGCCCGTGTGTGTGTGTGAGTGTGTATGCAGTGACATCTGAACCATGCCCTGATTGTGTGAATGAAACTGTTACCTCTTTGTTGGAGGAGATATTAATTCTGAGCAATTATACCCCCTCATCTGCTCAAAGCTCACAACGGACCATGTCAAACAATATACAACAGAGAAGAATGCAAATAAACTTCAGTCTGCATAGCCCAGCGAAGTAGTTAGCCGCCCACTTACAAGATACTAAACTCTTGTACACATGATACACAAAGAATGCTAGCTACTTTCACCAATCCCTTTGGTCAAAAAAAAAAAAAAAACCTGCTCCTTGTCTTTATATCTGTGAGATTGGAGTTCTTGCTAATAAAGGAGCTTTTCCCATGATGCAGTGTGATAAGGATTGGCCTACATGTAGCCCAGCAAGCCACTGCTGATGTTTTCTTGATTAGGTGTCTTATCTTCCATTGAGCTGCATCTGATGAAGGTTGCTGACAGCATAATGGCAGGGAAAGCGTCGGACAGCTCCATAAAATGGCAGCTATGTTATGACATGTCAGCCAGGACTTGGTGGATGGTAAGTTGGCATGATAACATTTTTTTTTTCTCCCCAAAAGTTTTTTTCCTCCTTTCTGAACTCCTCCTTCATTGTTGCGATGCACGTGTTACAAAGTTCAGAGTCCGTGCAAAAGTTTCAAGCTCATGTTCAGTTACTCCCGGGAGCCCTAACTATCACTGTGGGTTAGATAAGGTTACTCTTGCATTTTGATGACATGGGCCGTTTTTTAAAAAAGACAGTGAGGACAGCATGAGATTTTTTTTTTAAAAGCAAAATGCAAATTTTACAGTGTGCGCCAAGCTTGCTGGGATGATAGTGTGGAGGTGGAAGCAGTCACAGGAAAAAAAGAAAGCAGCTATGTCATCATGCTTTGGACTAATTGTTCTTGAGTTGGTCTTAAAACAGAGCAATCTGCTGCTTTATTCTGTTTCCTCTGAATAATTATTTAGAAAGTGTATTGTATCACGTTATGAACAGCTTCCTAATCAGTATGCTACTGTCCCCCACACTTCCCCTTCATTTGTAGTCCTCCTCCCTTACAATGAATACAGTAACTGGAGCAACTACTGATTAATATGCCGCTTGGCATAATTAAATTTAGTTAACGAGGCTATGCATATTCAGTCCATTTTTTTCTTTGTTTGGGCAAGCTTGGCTTTCCCCCCTCCCCATATTTATACAGCTGCAAATGAAGAGGAAATAAGGAAAGGGAAAAAAAATAACCTAGGCAGGGTGGACTCTGAGACACAACTTTTTAATGTTACTGGGCGAAGGAGTCCAAAACTTTCTTTGATCAAAAGAGTGGACCCAGGAGCAAGTGTTTTGGAAAAGAAAAGCTTTTCTTCTCACCAATGCTACATGAATTTTCTTCATATACTGATTTTGTTGTGTGTAGACAATGGTCTCTTGTATGCAAACGCTATGGCATGAATGGGGAACCTTCGGCTGGCTGGCTAACATTCCATTATGAATATTAATTTCATTCTTGGGTTGCTTTGTCTAGTCGTGTATTTTTATCCTTTTCATTCCTTCATTGATTGCCTTTGCTTGTTTGTCTGGATAATTATTATGCTTACTGCATGGGCTGTTTTTTCACAATTACTATAGTGCTGAGACAATAGGTACTTTATTCTTGGCCATAGATCTGGCGAGCACCAGTCGTAGCATGTCCCAGTGGCTGGACAGAAGGCAGTTCTCTGATCATTACTGCCTTCCTCCACTGCTTTGAAAGGACACTTTTTATTTTTTTTCCAAAGGTGAATGTTGCTGTGCACATTTAGTGAGGGGTCATATATTAAGGGGGAGTATTTGATTTAAACAGTGTTTGCTGCTTGGGATTCTTTATGTACTTTTTAAATGATTGAGAAGACAGATTTTCTTGTTACTTGTTGAGCTACTACAGTTTGAGCTATCCTGCTAATTAAAGCAGTTTTGTGAATCAACTCTTTTCCCTGGGCATTATGCTTTATGGTAGTGTATTCATGTTTAATTGTTTAATCTGATTTTTATATTGTATGGGTGTACATTATTGAAATAAGCTATTAAAGTAGCTGAGAGAGATTTAGAGGAAGATACTATAAAATGTTTACATGGTAGATTTACTTCTACTTAGTACTGGTCAAAATTAAGTGATGGTTAAAGATGCATTTCAGACTATATTTTAATTTATAAGTGTGGGACCTAAAGTAAACTTGTGTACAATGTAGATTTTCTCTGAGGATAATTATTCCATATGTTACAAATTCATAATGTTGAAACTGTGAGGGCTAATGTTTATTTTTAATATACTACCAGTGCAAAGTTTCTATCAGGAAAAGAAAGCATAAATAGATTCTATGGACTGTTGCATAAGAAATGTATGAGTTTGGATTTTTTCTGTATCGTTGTGAGCACTGAATTGCAAACGCCTCATGTGAAACAGGAAATGCATTTAGATCGCTGATCACAGTTGTTGAAAAGTTCATTAGCAAATATCAACTCTTATGATGAACATCATTACTAGTATGATCATCTTTTTTATTATGGCTCAACTGTTTTAAAATCATAATGCAGCACGGATTTTCTCAGTCAAATTTAACGTGACTATTCCTAAAATAATATCTTTAAAAAACTTAAGCTGTTTTAATTTTTTTTCCTAGGAAATAATCTTCCTTTCTATCCCACCCTCCCACCACTGCTCCCCTTCTTATGATTAAAACAAATGAGCTTTTAATAAGTCTGTGCTTTCCAGCTCTGATGTTACAGTATTGCTCCATTGTTTCCTATCTTACTGTTTATTTCAGTCAGATTCTTTTATTTTGCAGCTAGGATAACAATTTAATTTTGCCTGATGAAAAAGAAAACTAACAGTAATGACATATACTGTTTCTCTGTGTTTCATCCAGTATGGGTATGTTTTACTAAAATATAAGAAGGTAAAATGGTTTATTGAGACGGCAATAAACAACCACTTGCAAGAGGGGAAAAAAACTTACCACCCCCCCAAGCAGAAACTGACAGGTAGATATGGGGGAGGGGGAAGTAACTGTGTTTTAAAGCTTAATTATATAGCTTATTTATTTCTGCATATAACTCTGTGATGGGGTAAATTTGTGCATGTGTAAAATCTTACATAATAATCATATTATTATTTTATAATCATGTATATTATCATATATACAAGATTCTAGAACTCTGTGCGCTGCAGATTGTGCATAGGTTTCCAGCATAGCTGATGGACGCTCTGGTGTTTTTATAATACTTTTCTGTTTATAAAGAAGTGAGGCTGAATTTCTGAATATTATGATTATTTTATCTATAAACACAAATCACTTTTCTTATATTTAGTCTTGTTTGAGACAAGATAGTTCAAGGTTACAATCAGAAGCTGTTTTTCCCAATTTACATTTCACACTTAAAAATACCATCTCAAAGTACAAGCTTACCTACAAAATCAGGTAATGCTGTTTTCTGTATAACTAACCAAAATATATCCACTTATTTTCATCTTACGAACTTACTGAACTTATGAAATGTTATATATCTATGCCAGGCTGTGAATATATCCTTTTATGTGTCAGTTAGATAACATACCAGTTTTTTTACCTGTCTATACAGAACTTTTTTTATTATACTGATTATAAGTGTTACTAATTGTGCCAGCTGCATACCCGGTGCAATATTTTAGGTAACTGGCAATTTGTTACATACATGCGCATGTGTATGTGTGTTTGTACACCTGCATGGACAATTGCACGTGTATGTACAGTATGTATACTAGAGCCAGAGGAGAACAAAAATATATGCTGCGTAGTCCAAAACATCAAGTAAAGGTGTTGAAATAATAGATTTATAGATAATCTAGTAGTTATCAGAAAGCCTGGATTCATGGCAACTATTGTATAGTTCCTATTAAGCAGAAACTGAAAACGTTTGTCAAGAGTTCACTTTTATATTTTACTTACATTTGCAATTTCAAAATCATCTTGAAGCAAGCCAGTATGGCATCATTCATGCTTCAGACTGTACTCATAGGTATGTCATCTTGAAGAGAGGTTGGTATGCTTTAAAAAGTCAACTAACATATTTTAATGTTAATAATGTGTAAGAGCGATACCAATCCAAGGCTCAATAATAAAGCCAGGTTTTAATACACTATTTGGTTTTACACAAATGTTAATCACATTCTGAGGGAGTTGTAGTATGTCAATATTTTGCAGCAGCACATCTGTGCAGTTTTCTAATTTGTATTAAAATTATATTCACAACATAGTAACTCCATCAGTTGTTCATTTTTACAGCTGTTAATGAATCCTTTGTTCTCAATAATGACTTTTAATTAAATGATATAGAAACAAATGTCAATCTAACTGTGGACATATTGTACTTGCTGTACTTATTCATGAGCCTAAAACACAGTGTCTTAATTCTGTACATTTCTGGGGGAGACAACTAAGAGGAAAGGTTACATTAGAAAGCGGTTACACAGTTTATCTTACATGCTTAAAAACACAAATCTGAACACGGTACATACTCAGCTACAGAATCCCATGTTACTGAGAATGTAACCATGGGAGAATGTCCCATGTAACATGGTAACAGAATTACCACCTTAGCCAGGTAACTGAGCTACTTTTTTCTGTATGAGTCACCAAGAGATTTTCTGATTCTTATTTCATTGATTTATTAAGATTGTTATTAATAAGTCTATGACAGACCTGAACATCAACTTTCTTTGTCAGATTACCTATGTACCAGTCTATATATGTACAAAAATTCATCTTATAGTCATTATATGGGCAGCTAAATTAGAACACTTTATCCAAAGATCTCTAGAAACTGCACCTTGAATATGTTTTCTTTTTAAATCTCTAATGTTCTGTATTGAAAAGAGAAATACCATGTAAGGTCCCAGAGTAAGTACTACTACAGTTAACTATATTGTCTTTGGTAATGACATTTCTTGATTGATCAGGGAATTGAAAACCTAAAAGTAACTAGATGTTTAACTTGCTGTCAGAATAAACTTGTCTAAGGGGCAAGTGTTGATCACAGCAGTTTCAGTATTAGGATTTAATATCAGTTCCTTGTTATGATTTTCAAACTATGTATTCTTTGGCAAAGAAAAGCTATTTGTACTTGTCTTAACAACCACATTTTTTCCAATCTCTCTGCCCTTTTTATTCATTAGACAATTAAATATCTATTATTTCCCTTTATATTTGCTGCTATCAGCAGTATGGTAAATTTGCCCCTGCATTTTTCAGTTCTGACTACGTATTTATGTTCATTAACAATTCTACAGTGGCAGATTCACGGGTTTCCTTTTTCTCCTATTAACTTGACCATTTTAGCACAGCTTTCTCACAAACAAATTCCTTGTATCCCAACAGCTTAGAAAAAATAAGTTGTTTACAGTATGTGTCTTTTGTCTTGTATAAGGCTTGGTGCCAAACCCATTCAAGTCAAGAGGAGGAGTACCATTAAGTACAATGGATTTTGGATCAGACTCGTACAGAATACATTTATATTTTATATCTGTATAATATGCAAGATACTCCTGATTTATGTGAGTAATATCTACAGAATCTATAAATGATATTTTACAATTTGTTTACATATGTGTAAACTGACTCTCAATATACATGGATAATACAAATTCACAAGCATATCATGTAAGGTAGGAAAAACTGCATATACTGTATAAAGTTCTTAGGACTTGAATTAAAATTTGTTCTTAGAACTTAGTATAGAACTGCTTTTCTTCTTGTTTTGACATTACCGATGTATTCATTCCACCCTCCTCTGCTTTTCAGTCAGACATGTTGGGGCCTTTATTTACTAAATTATCAACATATTTTTCTTGATTATAATTACATATCCCTCATAATCCTTGATGTTCACTGAATATACTGTAAACTGAAATATATACTGAAACATAAAATGCAGCTCTGATCTAACCTGGCACCGTACTGAACTTTCAGCAGTATTTTACAGCCTCCATAAAGGGAGATACTGGCTTTTCAAAATCTTGAATAAAGCACCTTGGAAAATGAGAAGACTTAAAGCAAGGAAGAAAAGGAACAAAAAGGAAACAAGGAAGAAAAGGATTCTGTAACATCCCATCCTAATTTAACTGGTGTGATGTTAGTAACTGAAGAAAACAGTGAAAGGAGAGCAGAACATGTGTGGGACAGAGAAAACTCCAGATCCAGCAATGGGTTTCTACAAAGGAGCTATTCTTCCCTCCATTCTGCACTGCTAGAGAAGCAGTTCAAGGAAGAACACAGCCCCCCACCATTAGAGATGTTCAAAGAGAATATCCCTGTGGTGTATTGTTCTAGTATGTAGATTTGCATTGGTTGTAGATCAAGGTATGATCAAATAAGTTAAATGAGATCATACCTTGCATTTTTGAGTGTCAGGGGTAACTTCAGGGGTAACTTTTACAGGGGTGTAGGTTGTAATGTTGGTGTAAGGACATAGGCAGACAAGGCTCTTTGGGTGAATCTGATATCTTTTATTAGACCAATTTAAATAGTTGGAAAAAAATTCTTAACAAGCTTTCGAATTTAAAAACCCTTCATCAGGCTGAGGAAGCCCCTGCAGTTGGTGTGTGCTCTTCCTGGATGGAATGAATAGTAAAGAAGCCAGAGGCTGACTTTCAGGTTCCTGTTTTATTTCTCTCACACAAACCCTCACAATCTCGGATCTCATTTTGTTTAAAAGAATAGTCTCTGCTTCTGTTTTAAGCCATTTCTTGCCTATCCTCCCTCTCATCTCCAAATCTACCTTTCTCAGAAAGTGATTTTAGTGAATCTCTTTTTTGTCAACATGTTGGGAATTTGTTAACCTGCTGTTTTCTGATACAGCAGAACTTAATGCTCATGTAGCAGTGTCATAGATTAAAAAAACAGAACTTTAACAGTGCCTGCTGGAAGTAGATGACTGTATATTAACTACACTTGACACTGTCTCAAATAGTAACAGCCTGACAGAGAGCATGTACACATACAGATTGCATTTAGTACAAATAGCATGTGTTATTTCAGACCTTTAAATCAAAAGTTATTTGGGTGTAATTTTTCTCAGTTACAGATATTTCAACAACTCAGCCCACCTGTAGTTACCTAATTGCCCTCTAAAAAGCTTAAATGTTCAAATTTGTGAGTCTTAAATAAAAACACTTAATTCAATATTTTTAGGACAGTAATGAATAGAACCAAAACATCACTGCTCTTTCCTCCCCTCTGCTTTTATAAATCTTTAGCATTCTTGATATTTTGAATAGGTTCAATGCTTTCTGAAACAAAGCAAACTCCGTTTCCAACCCTCCCGCACACACATGTACACAAACTCTGTTTCTGGAGTTGCAAACAAACTTATTGTGGCAAAACACTATAGGTATATGTAGTTTTGAATGCCAAGTTTCCATGAAGGAATAAAGAGCAGTAGGGAGAAGAGTATTGTAATATGCTTCTATATTTTCATGGAATCACAATGAATATTGCACTAAAATGAAGGTGAAATAAATCAAGAAATAAAGATGAAGAAAGTTTGAATCTGGGTTTTTGATCTGGCTTATCCCTAAATCAGCTTCATAACATGAAACAAATGAAGTGGTAGCTCTGGTTATTTAAAACTATTGGCATTTTGCCCATAGAAGCACTAAATGAAAAGACTCCTAAAATAAAAATCTGAGGATTGTAGCTACAACACCAAATGGATGTTTTACACTTACACTTGGACAAAAAGGGGACTTTAAAAGCTAAAGGAATCTTAGATAAAATCCCAGTGCATTTTCTTTAATGTGAGGCCCTTGAATTAATCCAGTTCAGCATTTATAATGCCTCATCCACATATCATCATGCTGACTATCATTTATTCAAAAAAGATTGAAGTCCAACATGTGTTAATTTGCTCTGCACCTCCAGCACACCTATAGATCAATGAGCACCAACCCTGACATATATTGACCTACATTTAAGCACACAATATGGTAGCTCATGGTCTATGAATTTTCAGTCCATGACATAGATACTGCCAGTGGGTGCTGGTAGGATTGTGTTTGGGGGGTGCCAGACTTGACTGCTAGAACCTGGATGGAGCTCAGCACTTTTTTTACATGGACCACTATCAAATCATCAAGTAGCAATGACCTCTTGGTTGTTACTGATCAGAACCATATTCCTATGTGCTTCTGACATTACCACTTCCCACAACCATCACTGTTACTCCAGATTTATGTGTAACTTGACTTAATATAATTGTCCAGGAAAATTGATTGGTACAAAATTTATAACCAGAAATTACAGCGAACTTTGCCACCTAAATATGCTCTAGAGAAAACTAGGTTACATTATTTATGATGAGCAATAGTAATGATTCATAAATGTTAGGGTCGGAAGGGACCTCAGTAGGTCATCGAGTCCAACCCCCTGCCCTGGGCAGGAAAGAGCACTGGGGTCAGATGACCCCAGCTAGGTGCTTGTCCAGTCTCCTTTTGAAGACCCCCCAGGGTAGGGGAGAGCACCATCTCCCTTGGAAGCCCATCCCAGATTCTGGCTACCCTTACTGTGAAGAAGTTCTTTCTAATGTCCAACTTAAATCTGCTGTCTGTCAATTTGTGGCCATTGTTCCTAGTTACTCCAAGGGGTGTCCTAGTACATCTCCTATTCCCTGCTGCCGTCTCCTGATGAATTTATAGGCAGCCACAAGATCACCTCTCAGTCTTCTCTTGCAAAGGTTGAAGAGATCTAGGTCCCTCAGTCTCTCCTTGTAGGGCCTTGCCTGCAGGCTTCTGACCATACAAGTGGCCCTCCTCTAAACCCTCTCGAGATTCTCTGCATCTCTCTTGAAGTACAGCGCCCAAAACTGGACATAGTACCCCAACTGAGGCCTGACCAGTGCCACATAGAAGGGAAGCATCACCTCCCTGGACCTGTTTGTCAGCTATGACTCCAAGATCCCTTTCCGCTGCTGTGCTGCTAAGAAGGTCATTCCCCCAGTCTGTAAGTATGTTGGTGGTTCTTTCTGCCCAGATGCAGCACTTTGCACTTGTCTTTGTTGAACTGCATCCTATTTCATTCTGCCCATTATTCGAACCTGTCCAGATTTGCCTGGATCCATTCGCTACCCTCTGCTGTGTTAACTTTGCCCCATAATTTGGTATCATCTGCGAACTTGGACAGGGTGCTCCAAACCTTTGTCCAAGTCACTGATGAACACATTGAATAGCACCGGTCCAAGGACCGAGCCTGTGGGACCCCACTGCCCACATCTTTCCAGGTCAATATCGACCCGTCCACCACCACTCTCTGGGTGCAATCCCTAAGCTAATTTGTCACCCACCTGACCGTGTAATGCATTTTTTCTAATTATTGTAATAATTCCAAAAGACGTTTATACATGGTATATAATAAAATCCACATTTATATACTATATTAAAACAATTAGCTTATACTAAAGTGGGAGTGTTAATGTTGATGACATATGGCAGCTTATAGTGAGCAAAAGCCAAAATGAAATTAATTTGCTTTTCAGAGCATTGCCTACAGATGTGAACTTTACTTTGTATCACAAATTGTTTAGCCAACAAACAGTACAGCAGTATAAAAGTATTAGTATAATTCATACCTTTTGCAAATGAATTAGCAAATCATTAGCCTTAAATCACCAGAACAGCTACATTTGCCAACTTGAACTGTGTACTTGGCTTTTCCTTCTACCTGTTTGCTTTATTGAGAACTCCCTTTAAGAAGCAGACATTTAGGATGCCTATACACATGCTCCTTCACGTTCTAATTAAAATACATTGGAGCAGACTCAGTTAATTCTCCAGCAGACTCACTCCAGTATCACTGCAGTGTCACATGTATTTAGTCCTTGCACATTTTTAAATGACTGCAGGGTGCTTTATCTAAACCTTGTTGACTGAGGTTTAGATAAAGAATCTCGCAGCCATTTTTAAACGTGGGGGATTAATACACATGCCACTGCGGTGTTTTAATTAGAGTGGCTGCCCATAAACTGCTCTAATTAAAATGCCCTCCTTTCCCCCAGTCCAACGTCCAAGCATGTATATAGGCACTTTAGGCTCGGTAAAAAACCTTCAAAAAGCCTGAAGCAGAATCGGTCCAACTTGGACAGTTTTCGGTAAGCAGTGTAGTTGAGTTTGGTAGTGAAAACACACATTTGCCCTTTGAGAGGAGGGGGAAAATCTTAGATTAGGTTCTACCATTTTTAAATTAGTCTGTGTGCTCAACTTCTGTTCTGTTATGGGTATAGACCAGTTTTTGTGCCAAACTTCTGTTCTGTTACAGGTATAGAGCAGTTTCTGATCACTTATACCAGTAAAAGTGTAATGTTTGTACCTGACCTTAATTTTTTCACTGTATAGTCCCCTATATTTTGTAAAGAGTTTAAATTTTTCTTTAGTTTTTGCAACTCTTGAAATTTTCTGTATCCTGTTTCTGAATGCAAACAGCAGTAGTCCATTCTAAGTTGTTTCTCTGAATCTAATGTGAAGAGTAGCTCTTAAGCTGTTTAGTGAATTTTCCAAAACCCCATTATACGATCAGAAACAATTCTATACAGAGGTGCCAAGGATCACTCACTTGGAAAAAAATGCTTTCATTTAAATTAACTTGATGGCAGTTGCAACATATTAGTTTGAAGGCAGCTTCCAAACTACAAGACCTGTTTTTATCTCAGTGTAAATTGGAAGTAATGCCAATGAAGACAAAACTTCTGCAAACCTGATACCAGTGAAAAGAAATTAGGCTCAGCGTATTTTTCCAAAATGTTTCAAAGAGACATTTAAAAAGTCACTCTTAATATTTCTAAAATAATACACCTGCTCTCATAATAATACAGCTTAGTAATGCTCTACTGAAAGAGAAATGGAGATTTAAGATGCCTTTTGGAATAGATAGCAAATGAAAAGCACAATCAACTTTAGATTTACTTGCAATTCATCAACATGTAAAAACCATTGTTGGGGGGAGCTTTTTTCTGTTGCAACATTCAGTGAAACAATCCAAAGAGAGAGGTGACAGTCAGGAATATGGGCATGTACATGTAATGTCAGGTGACATTCCATAGCTTCTGTTAAAATTTGTATAACTATTTAGTCTGAGCTTTTAGAGGGTTTTTTGTTTGTTACTTTATCTTGGGTCCATTCAGTTTATACCAGGTGGTGTCAGAATGCTTTAATAATACCCACATTGTGTGTAACACTCCTGTTTAGGCACAGTGTGATCATAATTTTAACATTGGGATTGACACACAAAAGCAAATTATCCAAAATTTCCCTCATGCTCCTCAGTGCTGTCATTCAACATGTGGCATGTGATTTATCAAACCTCTACCATTCTATACTCTACGGATTGATTTACAATTAACTCATTACTTGTATCTTGTAATCAGAATGTCTAGATATACAATGACAAATGTATTAGAGCCTTTCTTTGCCTACCATTGTCCTACATTTTTA